ATCTGAGTTGAAGCCTTTCAAGAACCAATGGAAGGTTCAAGTGAAAATTGTCCGCCTTTGGAAAGAGTATTCTGCAGCTGCTGGGGAGACTATCGAAATGGTCTTCCTCGATGCTAGAGTAAGTTAATTTTTTTAGAAATGATCGAGTTTTATTCTATTTCTCTTTTTGACGTATGAAGTTTACTTATTTAATTTAATATTCTTGCTACTAGGGAGAAAAGATAGTTGGAACCGTGAAAAGAGAACTGGTGGGGCAATTCGATTGTCTGGTACAAGAGGTTCCAGAACCAGATGATGTTCCAGAACTCCATGCATTGAGGAAGAAGTATATCATTTCGATGAGTTTAAAATATTAAAAGAGTGTGTGTTGTTTCGTAAACTAACTAATTGTTATTTTTGTATGTAGGATTGCAAACCAAGAGTTTTGAAGACAATTTAAATTATTATATCATGTTTAATTTTCTATTTATTATTTTATTTCAATATACTTTTTTCTCATTATATCATGTTTTGTTTCTCTATGTTTTATTATGATATTAATTATTTTAATTTCTTTACTACTTTTTTTAGTAGACGATTTCTTAATTTTTTTGTATCATCATGTATCTATAAGACAAATAGATATATAAGACAAAAAGTGAAAACAAATAGCTATGAATCAATGCTTCGTTTCGCAGCTATACTAATATCTCATTATATGACTATATGATTTTTATTACTAATTCACATCCACTACCTATTTTTAGTTAAACAAATTAATATACCAAATTATTGTTCGATCAAAGTCAAAATAATCTCACTCCGCGCAGGGCGCGGATCAACACCTAGTTATATATATTACAATCTAATTTATACTAGCAATTAGCAAAATAATGTAACTTCATGTAAATTAATATAAAATCTGGAATAGTTGCAGAATAAGTCCTACAAGCGTTGTTTTTTAATTATTGTTTGCTAACTGACTCTTGACGATGAACAACAACAAAAGGCAGGTGACAAGTTGGCGGCAACCGAACCCGGAGCATTTTGTTTTGTCATAAGTGCCCAACCACACGTCATCGTTTTATCATGAACACGGACTATTTAGTAAAGTCCATGTGCAGTTGTTTTCAATATGGTTGGTTGCAACAACAGCCAGACCCCAGAAATAGTCTACACTTAGTTCCTTGATCTATTTGACTATGATTTATGTGTATGACATTGTTGATACACAGGTCAGAGAAAGAGATGAATCATCGCAAGGATATGGTTGGCCGAATTTGAGATCAAAGGCGGCTAATCAGGTGGCATTTGCTTTGAACATGTCAATTTTTTTTTGCAAATAGAGACTGCTTGCTTGGGCCAAAAACCAAGCCGTATGATGTAGTAAACTTAATCTCTGGGATTGAAAACCAACGCATTGTTGCCTTGTTTGAACTTACAACGACAAGTTCTGAAAGGTATGCTGAGTTATGTCACATTATCCGAGGACCATACTGACAAAACATGGACAACCAAGGCCTTGTGGGTGATAGAAGTATCTTTGGAGGATTTGTGCGTTGATTAGTAGCAGCACTCACTTTGTAGCAAGTATTCAATCTGAGCGTAACTGCACATGGCAATGTAATTTTTTCTGCTGAAGTTATTATAACATGCTACACTATTGTATAAAATGCGAAACAATTGTGTAAAACGCTGACCATTAGTGTATATTTATGTTACAGGCAGGTCGATATAAACGCACCCAAAGCCTACCACCAACAACCGCAACAACATGAGTCGCAAGCTCTTTTATTGTTTGGATTCTATTTCTCTGATGAAAATTTGTTTCTTGTCATAAGCTCTTTGAATTTATTTTTTCCACTAGTAGAAATACAAAAAGAAAGAATGATACTATGTTACTATAACATGAGGCAATTCTGTGGTTAATATACAATTAATTTATCCTTTTAACTGATGAAAAACAAGAAAATATGATCTATGCATTTGGTGATGAAGACGGTGTTGTGGCTCGAAGGAGTTGTTGCAGAAACCTAGCTGCAAGACGTTGCCCTACACCTCCTGCAACACGTCCACCAAGTCTTCTTGCTTCCGGCTGTTGTAACACCTGATTAACAAACAACAACAACAAACCAAGAGTTACTTGATCACACATATCAATCAAGTACACTATTGTTATTAGCTTAGTGCACAATGTCAATGATATGTTACCTGTACTAGTGGCTGCAAAATAGCTGGGTCAAAGCCCTCTGAAGACTGAAGAAGGCTCCAGATTCTTGACACCTGATCCCGAAGCTCAAGCGTGCTTTCGAGTTCCGTGGCACTCATTGCAAGAGGGCCATTCCCATTTCCATTTCCACTGAAGACGAGAGATCTCAAAAACACAGGCATGGAATTATATGTATCAACAACAGTCCCCAAAGCAATTGCTTCACTGACTCTTACAGCTTCTTTAATCACCAACAGTCTAAGCTCTTCACCATTTGGATCAAGCAGAAGCTTCAAAACAGGCTGCAAAGCCTCTTTCGCTGAGAAATCCCTATCTTTACTTCCCTGTTGCAGAAGATTCTCAAGCCTATTCCACCTAAACTTCCCATCTTTGAACAGAAGCTCAATGAGGGCATCTCTTAGATACGGGTTCGGATCAGTGAGAAGCCTTTTAGCAAAATAAGGGTATGATGCAGCCAACACTTTGAAATTAGGATCTGCGTAAAGTGCCAAACCTTCAAGCACAGTAAGCGACCTCAGAATCAAAGCATAGTAAGGTGGAACATTAAACGGATACTGATAAAACACAGCGCCTAAACCATCAACGAGCGTTTTGAAGTTAAGCTCGCTAACAGTATAAGTAAGTGCATCATCAAAGAAGTCTCTAAGAGCTGGTACAATGGGAGTAACATCTACATCAGGCGACAAGAACTTCAAAGCATAGTAATCTCGAGCCATGGCTTCATAATCTCGGTTCACCAAATGAACAACATGGCCTATGATAGCATACCTAGCTTCCTCTGGCGTCTCACTCATCATACCAAAGTCTAGAAAAGCTAGCTTTCCATCAGGTGTTGCCAAGAGATTACCAGGATGAGGATCAGCATGGAAAAAACCATACTCTAAGAGCTGCCTTAAGCTACACTGGATTCCTGTATTCACAAGATCAAGAACCTTCAACCCTTGACTCTCAATAGCAACTTGCTCGTTTAGTTTAGTCCCCTCTACCCACTCCATTGTCAGCACCTTTCGGCTAGTGTAATCCCAGAAGATATCAGGAACCAAAACATCAGCTTTATCAGCATAGAGCTTCTTAAACCTCCTAGCGTTCTGCGCCTCCTGAACATAGTTCAGCTCCTGATAAACCCTGCAGGCGAACTCATCGATAAGCGCGAGGACATCGGTGGTGATGAAGTCTGCATACTTGTTTACAAGTTTCCCAACTCCTCTAATAAGATAGAAGTCAAGACCAATAGCTTCTTCGATCCCGGGGCGTTGGACTTTGACAGCAACAGCCTGACCTGAATACCTCAAGTGAGCTTTATAAACCTGGCCAAGACTAGCCGCTGCTATCGGCTCAGGTGATACAGAGGAGAAGATGGACTCTAGAGACAAATCTAACTCTCTTTCAATGCAAGCAAAGGCTTCTGCATCAGGGAACGTTGGCAAAGAATCCTAATTAAAAATAGACAAAAAAGTTAGAGAGGTGTTTCTCCTTATCTATTTGAGTAAAAAACCAAGAAGAGGACTTGAACCTGAAGCTCAGCAAGCTCTTCGAGGTAATCAGGTGGACAGAGGTCGGGTCGGGTGGATAAACCTTGACCTAGCTTAACGAAAGTGGGTCCCAGACGAGTGAAGATCTTTCGGAGCTCAGAAGCTCTCTTCTTCATATTCACCTCTAGCTTCCCTTGCCTCTGATCAATCCCTAACTTCAGCGCGAAGCCACCTAAAGCTGACAATATCTCCACACTTCTCCGCAAAGCCTGGTTTTTGCAATAATAATTATCTTTTTAAGTTCAAGAAGTTGAAAACTTTGTACAAAGAATTCAAACTCAGGAAGGAGTTATAATAACCTTGAGAGGCTGAGAGCCATGTTTCTTAGCGATTAGCTCGGGGGAATATACGGAAGCATCAACGGCACGAGCCAAAGCACGTGCCTCAGCTTGAAGATCTTCCGCGAGATCAGCTCGTCGGTATTGGATAACAGGTGGTTTTGAGGAGGGGGAAGGAGTTTCCATAGCTCCATCTTCTCTCGGCTTAGCTTGAACAAGAGCTGCGCGCGTTAATCTCTTTCGATTCACCAAGAAAAGTTTGGATTTTTCGCTGTTTCTTCTCGAATTGCGTAAAGGAACACCGTCACCGATTACTGTTAAGCCTAGCGATTGACTAATCACAAGACTCATCGTGTAACTCCGAGAAATTCAGAGAGAAAGGGAAGAAATTAGCCAGTAACAGCCATGAAAGAAAGAAGAAGGAGGAAGAGAGATAGAGATTAGAGAAGATCTTGGTTACTTACTTACTTCGTGGTCCACACTTTTGGCGTGACGTGTGACGTTCTTTATTTAGAGAAACGTTCCGACAGCAATTAAAACCATAATCTATCTATCTACAACAACCAGCTTATTAGTTAGGGATACTGTGGTTTGCGCATTAGACTTTGGTTTACTGATAACCGGTCGATATTAGTTACTGCCCCATATAAAACGATGGTTTAGTAATAACCGCTCGGTATCATTTTCTTTGATGAGTTTTCAAACTGTTTTTGTTTAAAATTCAAAACAATAACGAAGCTTCGTGGGGGCATTGACAAGTATATTCTCTAAGCCATGGCCATTAAGGTTTTTTTTTTTTTTGTGAATGTAATTAGCCAAAACAATAATCCACTAAGGGGTTCAGGGGAGGAACATAGACTACTACTATTACTCTCGGACCATGATCCCATTTGTTTTTTCTTTTATGTACATCAACCGCTGCTTCACTATGATGTCACAATGTCAAGGTGAACCAACTTGGTTTCTCTGTCTCATAAAACTTTATCCCCGGTTATAAAAATCCACTCTTCTAGTAAACGGAGTTGCTTCTTCTGCACACAAAAACACACCGTTTCGAATTTTCATGGGTGTAGAGAAATAATAAAAGCTTACAAACGATGGTGAGAGTATTATTAATATGTTGTTACCATGGTGTTGCTCATCGATATCATCATCATCATAGTCTCCGTTATTACTTGTGAAGAACGGTGTTAGGTAGTTCCTGTCTAGTTCTGTAAATGACGCAGCGCTGCACAAACACATAACAAAACAACACCAATGTTTCCTTTTTGTTTTGTTTTGTTTTGTTTCTAGTGATTTAATACAAACTTGAAAGCGGTGAATGAGTAATTTACCTCTTATGGAACTCTCTTAGTTTTGTCCTGAATCCACTTCCTGATGGTGAATCTTCATCATCAAACCTATTCATATACCTATTGTTCACCACCTCAAATCCCTGACCAAACATACAAATAAAAGTTAGGGTTATTAACCATGTGGTGTTTTCTGCATGGAGAGACCAAGATTAACCTTACATTGAGGAAATAAATAAGAGATCTTTAGGACCCTACCCCTATGTAAATAACTAAAATATATAACTATTACTTTCGCTTGACTTACATCACCAAGGGTTGTATCATGGCCATCACCTACAACCTCTAGAGCTTCAAGCATTGTACCAGTGGATCCTCCGATTAGCAACACCTGAAATCCGTTTCAGTAGCATCCATGATCACATCAAATGCAATATAATTAGGCTCAGCTATCAAGCAATAGAAACCCTCTGATCAGGGAGCTCAGTTTTAAGCAAATTGTTAGCTTTTACAGAATGATGGCTTACCGTTACAACAACAATGGCTGTCGTTGCTGTGAAGATAGTTTGACCATGTCCTTCTGGCAGATCGTGAACCGATTGTAGAGCAAGAGCAAAAGCCATAGCACCTCGAAGTCCTATGAAACCCACATGCTCGTTTACTTTTTACTGAGGTATTGAAAACAATATCTACATACGGAAAACAAAGAGAATTGTCTTACCACTGTACCAAAGTGCTTTTTGATGCGTCATAGGTATTTTCCTATGTGCAGGTCGTGCAAGGTTGACCAAATATCCACAACCAAACACATTAGCTGCCCTGCGTAAGACATATAAACCAAACAGTAACGCTATCAGACACGAAAAACAACACACAATGTGGAAATGAGTGCATGTATTTATACGCATATACATGATGTGAAAAGATCCCGAAGTGAAACAAAAAAGCGTACCTCGCAATTACTATGAACAGCTGAGGTTCGTCACGAAAGATAAAAAGTTAAGGAACAACAGCAGTTCATATAATTTGAATTTCAAGCCAATAGAACTTGCGTAAAAGGATACAATAGAGAAAAGGATGAATCCAACGTGTGACCAACTGTGCTTTTCCATGGCAATATCAAAACCCATGTAGATGAACCTGCAGATTTGATCATTTGGAAACGTAACGTCAGACCATTGACAGAAATCAACTATCAAAAAGCTTGAGAGTATACGAATCAAATGCATACACAAATGTCTCTGCCAAGGAAGATATCAGATGAAAAAAGGAAGACACAAATCGCTGAGAATTTGTTGACAAATTCGAGTAGGTGTAATGCTTCATGACCTGAAAACACAAGCAGTTTACATTATACTACTTTAGGCTGAGAACCATATCACAAGACTCATAGAAATAGAATGACAACTCACAATCCCAGTAAATAGAATCGAGACGATGCCAGATAGACTGAGACCTTCAGCGAGCATGTATCTAACACAAGGAAAACAAAGTTAACAAACCGTACAATCTCTATGAGCGTAAACCAAAGAAGCATATATAGCTAATTATATAGGGGAGAAACTACTTACGAGAAATATGGAAAAAGCACAAAGAGGCAGCACTCCAAGTTCTGCAGACTGAAAGGAGAGTAAAAAAAATCAGAATAAAATATTTCAAAACGGACCATTCGAAAAGTTTCAGACATAGATCTATAGTCACTCACTTGTCAACGTCCAGCCCTGCATACTTAAAGAGGTGCATTGCATTAAGGCTAACAACTCGTTTATGAGTATGAAGTGAAGCAAAAATATTTCATAAGAATGTAAAACAGAGAAAAGGATATGAGAGCAGATATGAATCCAACTCCAACCCCTGCAGAAGCACACAAATGTCTCTTTATAACCCAGAAAGAACACATATAAGAATATATACTGACACTGGAAAAATTGTTGAGATGCTTGCAAGGTCAAATTTAGTTTAGCATTCATATGTTAATTTTCTTAGGTTGCTTAAACTTGTTCATAACTTCACGATATTTAGTATTGTTCTCAAACTCATACGTAGAGAAAGGAAAGCATATGACAGAAGCAAACCTGCAGACATTGAACCGACAAAGGTTTCGAGAAATCTGACTATCACCATAAAGACATTCTGACCAGCTGAGTTACTTCTCACCAAGGACATTGTCCTGCACCACAGTTTAAACCCTGGTTAAAATATCTTACCAATTGACTATCGTCTATCACAGCATATTTTGAATTAGCTTACATACCTGTACAGAGATATGGCCATCTTCCAAAAGAAACATACAAAAATAGAAAAACTTAATAAGTAATGTGATATTTTTTTCATTCTAATCTAAGGAATCAGAAATCAGTACTCAAAAACTACTAACAGCATCATTCAAAACCGATTCTCCAAAGACCAAAGCATACAAATTTACATCCGATCCAAGTTCCTGCAAGACAATACAGTAGTAAGAAGTGGTAGTAGATATCTCCTGTTTCGAAAACAGAAAATCTCTCAGAAAAGCAGCAAAAGGATGTACCTGAAATATAGACAAGACTGTAACAGGATCAGTGGCTGAGATAAGGGAGCCAAACATGAGACACTCAACAAACGGAAGTTTGTACATGAGAAACATCACGCCGCCAAGATACCTTCAATAGAAAAAAACACCTTATAAACAACAAAAAATAGAACCTTTCCATTCACCAAAACAGAAGCCATTAACAGGGTAGAGATACATACACTAGCACGCCAGTAACAATGGAAGCCACAAAAGTTCCAAGTACAGAAAAAGTGACAATAGCTCCGAAGTTTGAAAAGAAAGGTTTCTGCATAAACCCCAGCAACAAAGTAAGCATCACCATTAACTCAAAAGAAAGAAATGAGAGGTCTCTGCACTTACGGGTTGTAGACTGAATCCAGACTGGGTGCAAACAAGTAAGTCAAGGAAAAGAAAGAACACATTTTGTTGCAAAGTTGAGAATCATGAAAACAGTCACATAGAGACGTATACATATGCAAAATACAAACTCTAAATAAAAGGATATAATATGATTGGAGGCAGCAGAAACAGGAAGAAGAACTCATCGTGGAAATTGAACCATGTCCTGAACAAAACAAAAAATGATTTAGCATCGGTTACATACGTATACACACATATTCTTCCACGTATACATGTAACTAAATATTATACTCCATTAAGTCTCTAGGTTAGTTGAGAAGGGACATTAAAAAATAAATAATTATAAAAAAATAAAAAGAAGAGTTCAACGAAAAACCTTATGCTAGTCTCCGTGTTCGAGACATTCGCCAAACCACCAACGATCAACCCTAAATTTGTATTAATGAATCAATCAAAACCTCAACGATCGAAAATGCCAATTAAGGAGACGGAAAGAAACAAACCGATGAGAAGGGAGGCACTAGCTTCGGGAAGATAATAGAACTTATGACGGCGAAGGACATGGCCAAGTACGAAAGAGAGGACGAGCATCATGATCTGAAGCAATATCCCCACTCCCGCGGCTTGCTGCTGCTTCTCTTGCCCTTGCGGATCGTGAATCGCCGGCGAAATTTGCAGCTCCGACAACATCACGCCTCTCCCCTTCGGAATTGGAAAATTCTAGGGTTTCTATAAATGTTAGTTGGCTCTCTCTAATTAAGTATGCTCTTCTTCGTGTTCTTTTGTTTCACACAGATGAGATGTGAGAGTTAATGAAACTCGTGGGTGAGATAGACTTTTCTTGTTTTTTCTGGAGATGCGTTTTGCGTTTTATAGGAATCCGCGTCCTCACTGACTTCTCAGGTGGGTTTCCGTTTTGGGCTTTTATGGGCCGTAAAGTTCTTAAACACAACAGATTATTAGGCCCAGCGGCTCTATAGATTATTACGAATTTTCACTTACTGTTTACCACTTTACCTAAATTCCATAAAAATATCCAAATTACAATGGGTCGAATGCGGAATTACAAAGATCCTAATTTTTTTTCTTTCATTTCTTATTTTACCTGAAAGAAACTAGAAAGAGAGTGAAAAAAAATATTTCATGTCTTTCTCCGAAAAAACGTAAAGAACTACAACGATGATGATTCGAGCTTCGACGATGATGATTCGAGGATGATGATCCCAGCTCTAGTGATGAAGATTCGAGATTTGGTGGTGTTTTGATTTGTTTTCTTTTTCTTTTTCTTTAATTTGACATTTGATTTTATTTAATTTTTGGATTCATCAAATTAAAACATTAGTTATGAACTTATGAGTTATAAGATAATGAAAAATATCATTTGTAATTATTTTTACTTTGTATGTTAATATATTTTTGATGTGACAAAAATAACTACAACTATTGTTTCGAATACAAAATAAGCAAATCCATGACTGAAGAATTATGTTCAGTTGAATCAACGACTTGAACTAAACTGGCATGAATCGTTTTGGAGTGATGTTAAACTTTCTACTATGTATATTATCACATGTCCCATAGGCCTGTCTCGCGGGCCTACCTACGAATGCTTGTACATATAGTGGAACGGGTTTGAACAACCATTCTGGAAACCGTAGCCTGCACGAACCTGATCCGAAAGAATTTTAGAAAAAAAGGTCCTACATCTTTTTAAAAATGCCATAATTACTAACTAAATTTTTGGTGAAATATTGTGGACCATGTGTAATTGCACTCTGGACACATACCCAAAGAGGACTCTGGGGCAACCTGTTTACCATTTTCACAAATTACCATCTCTAGCAATGGACAAGTCTTAGTTGTCGCATTGAGTTAGTGAGAGAGATGCATTCCTTTACACACATTCAAAACATACGCATACATATATACCACAAAACATAATTCCACATATCATCATATTACGTAGATGCTGCTCAATAACCCTTCTTGTATCAATATTACACATATCAGTATGTAACCATGGTTATCAAATAGCTACCATGGTACATATTCCTTAAACCTAAAAAGTCAAAGAAAAAAATAACACAGAAGTGATGTACTTATGAATCAAATTACAAAACATCTGAAAGTAAATATTTCCTTTGTTAGATGTATTATATCTTATTGGAATACTTATTGCTGAGGATGAATCAAACTTCTTATACTTAGATATACCACACATCTTCTCAGGTTTCTTAGGAAATCAAACCTGTGAAAATTTTGAAAAAGGAAGCATGAGTTTTAGTTGAACTGAAAAGATTGCAGGTAGGATAATTGTATTAGATACAGTCAAGCTTACTTGGGCGTGTTCGGTTTTGTATTTCTGAAGCTCTTCTTCTGCACAAATGAGCCTATGGACACACACACACACACACAAAAAGAATGTTTGTATCATAGAATACAACATGAGAGAGAAGTATATCACAAGGAAGAGATTGTGGAAGTTACTCACCTCCATTGCAGGTCGGTTATGTCATGGAGTAACTCTTTCTCTCTTTCGTGTGCTGCTTCAAGCTGTGATTCAATAAAATAACAATTCTTCTGAGATCTAATTCGTTCGATGAACATGATTCATAAACTTGTAATGATTGCAGACGATTACATACCAATGATTTCTCAGTAGGAGCTACACTAGGTTGCTGTACGCTTCCTGGTTCAGCTGAACGTCCCTCTACATGAGAGAAAACAAAAGAAAATCGTAAAACCGTACCAAGAAAAGTGTAATCAAAAAGAGTGAATGGAGACATAGATTAACCTGTCAGCTCTCTGTTGGTGAGTACTTTCATCATATGCAGAATGTTATCCTGTTTTTTTTTGGGACGATGAAAGTTATGCAGTGAACTTTTACATCTTTACTACAAAGAAAGCTAAAGACATACCCTTTCCAATATATTGGTTTGCAGAATTGGATATACCAGGGGGTAAACATATGAGCTGGTTAGATTTGGCAAAGCGACATCCGATCCTAAAGCAGAGGGAGGTAGAGAAGCAGCAGAGTGTTGGCCGAGCACCTACATGACCGCAAAAATGTCTTGTAATAGATATTTGATAGTTTGTGACTGCAGCTGATCAGGCTGACCTCTGAACTATTACAAACCTGCATGCTGTGACTCTTTTGCAACATTGGAGATGGAACCACCTGATAAAGAGAAAGTGAATATGAATACAAACACAAACCTTTAATTTGAGTTAAAGAAACAAGAAACCGCATTTTCCTTCTTGAAAAAGAAGAGGTTACCTTGTCGATATCAAGATTTTCAGAAGTTACTTTAAAACGCCCTCTTTGCTGCACAACTGGCGGCTTTGATTTGTCGTCAGATTCATCTAGGCTCGCTGATACACCATTTAATTCATTAGAAAAGTATTGTTTCACAGGGATGTTTTGATTGGATACAAATGTATACAAAGTTCTGTAAAAAATTACATGCTGCTTTGGGTGGCTTAACAGATAGCTCTGTTGGTACTTCATCTCCTCCCACTGTAGGATGTGCTCCATTGCAGGTTGACCCATTTTGAAGTTGATCTTGGGTTTTATCACTAGGAATTAACATAGTAGCATACAGAGTACTTATATAGTCAGTAAACATGAGCGTTGACATCAGGTTTTCAGTTACTTTAAGTGACAGGTAACATTTAAACACCAAGACAGGTATCTAAACAACCTCTTACAATAACAGTACATGTTAAAGGACTAACCTCTCTCCTTTACTGACACAGCTTCCTGCTAGAATCTCTATTGGTTGATTGGTTGTGATAGATGTGGAGTCAGTTGATTTCCCATTGCTTGCATGAGTACTTGCAACAGTTGTGTTATTTAACGATAGATCCTCATGTCGGGGAGAGGAATATACATAGTTATCATAACTGGGGCTGGCAACACTTATATCATCATCGGATTTTTCCCTGTCCAGCCAAGATATTATTTGTTCAGTTTTATTCACCTCTAGTAGTTCCAGCCAAGTAGATAACCAAATGAAAACTACAAATAGAGAACATCAGAGCTAAGATTAGGAGATAAACCTTGCGATACTTAGAGTTCGGTGCATTAGGGGCTGTAGATACTTATTAGGAAGTTGAGAAGTATCTTCCTGCAAAGATTAGATGATAAATAACCATTTAAACCTTGATTATTTAACTAACAAGGATGAAAAGAAAGTTCAGCAAATATGTACACTAGAAGCTTGAGGAAAATCTCTACAAGAGGGGATACCTGAGTCTCTGATTGCATATCTTGTGAATCTAGAGCCTGCAACGAAGTTGTGCTTTCAGATAAACTGCTCTCCGACATGCCACAATCTATGTCCTGGATCTGGTGGAAATAAGAAAGTCATAATATGAAGCACAGTGAATTACTTTTTATGGGCTAGAGGAGACCAAGTTTATACCAATGAAGCTTGAGCTTTCATGTCATCTAGATTGAAATTCCACCCACTGATACCTCTCTTGTATTCATTCTGCATGTTACTATGACAAGAGGTTAAAGTCTAAATACTCTGCATAACAATTTGAGCTGAAAACCAAAAATTCAAGATTCAAACATAAATAAAGAGAGCCAAAAAAATTTGGACTGGAAACACAAACCTGGGAGAGTTCCTCCTTCTCTATATCTGCCATTTTCTCTTGTGCAAGCATATCTTCTTCCTTTTTCTGCATTTAGAAAGAAAGTATATCCCCATCCGTTTTCATCATTAGGAACTGATTGATAAATGGAAAGATATGGAATATCTCCTTAGTACTACATATCAAACCTTTATTGCTTGAACACGGTTAACAAGATCTGGCAACCCATCAAGAAGTTTTCGTGCAATGTAATCGCTTGACCTCGCTTGCTTGAAAAAGGAATGCTTTAACAGTTTTTTGGCAGATGGGCGTTTAGAAGGGTCTTTGACTAGGCAACTTGCAATCATCTGCTTGAAAGACTGAAAATACAAGGAATATTGAGATGATAAACAGTCAAAAAATCTGAGGAGAATGTATTAGTAATGATTGAAACCAAGAGTATACCCTTGAAAATTTCCTATCTCTTTCATAATCCAGCCCTGGTGGTGCATTTTGCAAGGTCATAAGCAGAACCTGCAACCATAATTTTTTAGAATTAAGCTAAAGATCTTGAAGCTGATATTCAGATATCACAAGGCTATGAACCTTCATTGGTGGATATTTGGAGAAAGGAGCGTGGCCATGTGCAAGCTCTAGCCCAGTTATACCAAACGACCAAATATCCGCCCTGAAGATGTTCCAAATAAGAAATACTATATTCTCATTTACTAAACATAAGCAAATAGAATATTGAATATGAAGCTGCACTTACTTGAAGTCATAACCATGTAACTGCTCCATGACCTCTGGAGCCATCCTATTAAAAGCAAGAAGCAGTAGGTCAAGCACATGAGAAGTAAATTCAAATTGTTGAGAGCGGTTGTTACCACTACACTTACCAGCAAGGTGTTCCAACAAAAGTGTTTCTCGTACGTTGCCTATCACCTGAATCAAAGAGACAGGCAGACACACCAAAGTCTCCCAACTTGATTGCACCACGAGCACCAAGCAGAATATTCCCCGCCTGAAACAAACGATAATCAATCTAATACCAATATTTTTGTTTATCATAATAGAAATGTTTAATCCACAACATGTTTTGACAATAAAAACCATTCATGTCTATAAAATTAATTGCCAGCTAGACTAGAGGATAAATCATAAGAGTTTGAAGTTTTACTGACTTTGACATCACGATGAATGTGGCCATGCTGATGAAGATAGTCCAACCCCTTCAACGCCTCACGCAA